ATTTATTTGCTCTTGAACTACAATAATTTGTTTGCATTTCTACTGGCTAGGTGTTGCTTTCTTATTCACAAAGTGCAAATAATAAAACTGTAAACACAGCTGCTTGGGTTTGCAAGGAAGAATTGTAAAATATCCTCCCAAAGATACAGCTGCAAACACTTAGCTGTGAACTAATCTGAAAACTCTTAACATTTGTTTTCCAAAAAGAACAGGGAAATTCTATTGCATGTTCTTGAATGGGGCCAAATCAGAAACCTAAGCAGCAGAATACTACTTCAGTTTCTAGTTGGCATGAGGCATGGTTAATGCCTGAGGCTGTGGATAAATTGAAAATGCTCAAATGTGGCACTTTATGGTTTGAACGGAAGGAAGGAAGGAAAGGAAAATGTGCTAACTTCACTTACCACTCTCCAGGAAAGTTCATCTAAGAAAATTCCTCCCCTTAGCAAAATCTGTAGCACGTGAGGAAAAAGTCTGAGTTCCTGAAAAAATGTTTACTTTATACTTTTACTTGTCCCTCACTTTCTGTCTCTCTTTTTTGCTCTTTTGTTTTGTTTTTAAGTGCTCTTAGATTTTTTTTTTAGTTTCTTCAATGAATAGAACCTAATTCTTAGCATTTACTTATTTTTTCTGTACTTTTCAGTACTTTAAGGAACACTTGCAAACTATTTTTTCTATCTCAGATCACTTGAAAATGTATTTAAAGTGTGTAACTAAGTATGCAAATTATGTTAATTTTTGGGTAGCTAGCCACATTAACTAATTAGAAAGTTGAACTAATTGGAACATTTATCAGAACAGTTGAAAGGGTAAGTGAATGGATTGGTGGTATGATCCAGTGATTGAAGGTCTGTTCTGAATACCTCACTCTGGGAATTCTCCCAAACAGTATTTGGGTTTTCTTAGATATATAAAACGCCATGCTTTTCATGATTTCATTTAGCTTGCTGTATAATTAAAATGATAGGCATTGCATTCTGTGGCTTCAGTGTAGAAATTAGAGCAGCTCGTGAAGAGATTGAACATCTATGTGTCATTTATTTATGTGCATTTGCCAATGTTGAGCCATATTAAAAAAAGTTAGGAAGCTGGCAAAACTCTTAAGTTATTATCATTCTCAGTTGCAGCTTCTTAGATTTGGACTATTATTTGGGTCTGTTTGATAAATGTTCTTTCCATAGGCAGTTGTTTTGCAAATGGTACCACGTCTCTGAGAACACTAAGCACCTAATTGTGTGCCGTGAGTGAAGTGATTGGCCAAATCTTTCAATGTATGTTTGAATTAAAAAAAAAAAATAGCAAACTAATTGGCTGCTTAAACTTGGCTGTTATTCAGAGTCATCAAATAGGAAATAATTAAAATGTGGGGTTGGTACTGGTAACCAAGGAGTAAATCGAATAAATTCCAAGTTGTTACAGTTGGTCAGTGCCTTAGTTTCATGACATACACTCCCTTATTCATTCACAGTACATGTGCTTATTTTTAAAATTAAAAGTGATTCACAAAAAAAAAAAAAAAAAAAAAAAAAAAAAAAGTGATTCACATTAAATTCTGATTCAGAATTAATTCTCCATTTCAAATTTAGGAAAAAATGACAAATTATGCTCAATTTAGAATTTAGGCAAAATCATTTTGTATCATTGGACATGACTGAGATTATCACAAAACCAGGAACAGGTGTAAATAACCTCTATAAGTAGATGTGTTAGAGACTATACTAATAGTCCCATATTGTTTTGCACAGTTATGTAAAAATGGTTATCTTCTCAAATGTGTTGCATTCTCATTTGTAAATTTTGTGGAAAAGTTTATTTTCTCAGTTTTATTTGGAAGAATTGTCCTTGGCCATTTTTCTTAAAATTGCCTTCAAAACCAGTGCATTAAATTGATTTTAAAAATTATTTGGTTTAATCAATTTAAAATCAATGGTTTAGGTGTTTCAGAATTTATACCTTTGTCAAGATTGTATTACTAAACCCCAAGCAAGGGTACTTTTATGAAAGGAAAAGAATATGCTTTTAAAATAAAAATTGATTTTTGTACCCTCATTTTCTTTTCAAATTATGTTGCTCTTCCTGGGTACTGTGCATGGATTGCTGCTCTGTTGACTGCTGATTATTGACTGAATGTAATACTGAGTCTGTTTCATTTAACTTAAATTTCTTGCTTACATTTTTTTAGAATACTTAAACTGATCAAAATTCAGGGACATAGTCAAATTAAGAATTTTTCTTTTCATTGACAAATTTATTTTGTGCAAATGCAGCCTGAAAAATATTTCCTTATGATTAAAACCTTGTGTTTCTGTCAAGAGACATTCTTGACATGATGCCAGTATATTTTAATAAATTAATCACCTTAAAAGTGCTGTCAGGCAAAATGCATTATGAATGGACTTTGACTAAGGTGATGGAGAGTTGCTATAATCAGAAGCATGACAAGTAGCTTACAAAGTCCACAAGATCTTGTAGCTGCTGGAATGCAAACTGGCCATCGAATAGATTTTCCTCACTAACCTTGTCATCTCACCATACTTTTTGTTTTTTTTAAGAGACAAGGTCTCTGTCACCCAGGCTGGAGTACAGTGGCAATCATAGCTTGCTGTAACCTTGAACTCCTGGTCTCAAGCAGTCCTCTCACTTCAGCCTTCCAAGCAGCTGAGACTATAGGCATATCTGCAGGCAAATGCTATCACTCCTGGCTCATTTTTTGTAGAGACAGGGTCTGACTATGTTGCTGAGGCAGGTCTTAAACTACTAGCCTCAACTGATCCTCTCATCTCGGCCTCCCAAAGTGCTGGGATTACAAGTGTGAGTCACTGCACCTGGCCCTCACCATACTTTGATAGGTTAAAATCGAAGGGAAGATGATAACAAAAATGGACTATTAATACAGTAATTTATACATCACTAGCTGTGTCGTGTAGATGCATATGTACCCACTCTGAGCCTGCTTTTCTCATCTGAATAAGAGAGGGAGCAAGAGACAAGTACCAGAGAGGGTTTTGTGATGATCTAAGAGAGATAATTAATGTAGGGCCTGTGGGAGTACCCTCAATCATAATCGATAATAAATGTGTGAGGGAGAGAAGGTATAAAGGAAGAAAAGATTGATTTTGATTACATTTAGCACAGAACAAACACAAACATTAGCCAGAACACGTGAACACCTGTGTTCAGAGCCTTGCACCATTTAAATTATCTCCCAAAGCACTTTAAAAAACCAACCATATGGCTAATTGAATGTACATCAAAGTACATCATGGTAAGCATGTTAGTATCCATTCTAGTTTGTTGCATGTTAGAGTTAAGGGTCTGTTCTGGGCAAAGAGTATTTAGCACATTGCCGATTTTACAATGTGATTTTTCCTACAATAACAAAAGTGTTATAGGTTTTTAGTGGTTGCTTTTTTGGCACAGTGCTGATCATAATTAGTACTTTTTAACACCAATTCCTTGATTAGGAAACAAACCCAATTCTAACATTTTTTATAATTTGTTTTGTTAAGTGTTCTCTAGGAATGTTTTAAAGCCAAATATGTAAGCTACTTGTATCAGGTTAACTTAAAGCAGTCACCTCCTACAATAGCACTGCTCCAGGTGGTTTCTTCCCCAGGACACCTGGACATTTCCCAGGTGTTACCTCTAACTTTTCAACTCAACAGCCAACTCTACCGGCTTTGCCCTCAGCCCATCACTTACCCCTCACTGAGAAAGAATTAACACATTTAATTATAAACATTAAAATATTTGGCAACATGGACATTAGAAGAGCTGAACAGTGTAGAAATTGGAATCTCAAATCATGAGAGAATGAAACATAACTACATCATATTTTTTGATACATTGCCGTATTCCATCTAGAATGTTAAGACTTGTTCAACTTCCAGGACAGGTTTTGTTTGGTTGTGTGTTTTACACTATCATTCTGTAGTAAGATTTTATTGACTGCCAGTTTAATATTATCACTTGAAGCAAACTTCTCTCTTTTCATCAATGATACTTCAGAAAATAAAAAATGAAAAATGGAGAAATAGAAAATGCTCAAGTTAACTAGTTGTTTTCCCAGATCCTGTAAGGTGATGTAACAGGCGTACAAGAGTAACAATAGAGGTACAAGAAGAAAATATTAGAGCTTCTTTTGCATTTTATCTAACATTTTATCTTTCTACTTTTATCTGTTTAATGATACACATAACTAATATGGATATATATTTAATTAGTCATATATTTGTGGGGAGTGACTACTGAAGAGAAAATTTTATAAGAATGCATAACTTTAAAAGTTCAAGGACCTCTCCAGTTGGGGAGAGACTCACTCTACACTCTGAGGTCATTTAATAGGAAAAAAACATGTTAAAGGAAAAAAATATTATAACATATATTTTACATTTTTCAAATTAAATTCCTTTATGTTAAGCTTCAGATTGTTTCTGTGTTGTTTGAGGAGCTTAAAATATTTTCGTGATTTTATTTGTGCCCGTTCATGTTATCTACACTAGTTAATAATTAGTAGGGTGACTACAGAAGAACAAAGAGCACACGAGTGTTGTGTTGTTTACTAACGTGCTCTTCATTGCTAGAGAATCATTCCTGAAGTGACTCACACTTAACAGTAATATTTTGTTGGCTGTTTCTTATTTCCGTCATCATGTTGATAGGCTGTAATTAACTTTGTTGATAAATGAGGATGTAATCATTTTAAGGGTTTATGTGTAATATATGAGTACTGGAATTGGGCTTATAGAATAAGATAGTACAAAGCTTCCTCTTTAGAGGGTGATGTGAATCACTTTTGCCTGAGGCTAATTTTGAAAGAAGATTGGTCTCTTTTGAAGAAGTAATTGACCTTGGATAGGTCCAAGACTGTTTTACTAACCCTACTCCATCATGAGATTGGCTTCGTTGTGTCAACACAACATTTGTGACAAGTAGAACAGTTTTAGTAAAATTGACCTGTTATAGTAACAGAAATTAATTGAAAAATTATTTTCCTTTAGTTCACAGGAAGATGAAAGACCTATGTCACCCTTCTATTTAAGGTATTTATTTGATTTTTGTTGGTCTACCACAGGGAATGGAGAAGGGATAAGGCTTCTTTAGGTTTATTTGCCCATTTTAATCCTTTTTCAATAGCATATTCTATATGGTGACCATACTAAGCTTGCTGGAGCTCCTTACCCTATTGGTCAATGCTGTATTTTCCGTCTCTTTGGTTTAAGAAATATTTTTTAAATGTTTAATGTAGTTGAAAACAAGATTTTTTGTTTTAAATTCAGAAATGTCAAGTGGACCGTTTTAATCTGTAAAACTGACTTATGATTAGGCTTTAACCTAAATTAGAAGTCGCTACTCTGTACCTGTCTGCAGGTGAGAGGGGAAGGCAAGCACAAGGTCCACTCGCGAAACAGCCTCGGGTGAAATTAGATCATTTTTCTATGTGGTAGTGGAGTAGGAAACTAAATGTTCTGCAGGTTCATGAGTTCAGGATTATTTCATAAAGCTTATAAAAGACAGAGTAACAATGATTAAAGCAGGCAAGTTAACTAAATTCAAAGCAGATGTTAGATAAGATCACTTCTCTCGGGTGACTGAACACTTACCGCACTCGTGATTTTTCAGGGAACCGTCTGGCTGAAGTATAACCTAGAACCACGCCTTCCTTATCGCATTGCTTTCCTTACTATCTGCCCACTTCAAAGGCTTAGAAAATATGCTCGAAAATTATGTAATCATGTAAATTTTAAATGATGGGTTTTTTGAACCTTTCCTCTATTCTGAAGTCTGCCACTTTTTAAAAGAAATGTTGGGACATGTAATTTATTTATTTTTGGACCTGATTTGTTGTAATAGCCCCACAGTTGGATTTAGACTGTAATTCTAAATCAAGCAGTTCGGAAACGTGTCATAGGGCTTCACACGTAGCCAAGTAACTGCTTTTCAGTAGCGTTCTGCCCTTTAGCGACTTGCAGCATATTATTGCATAATCACTTTGTGGCAGGATTGGGAACATTTGAGGTTTCGGTTTGAGACAACATGGTGGTCCGTTGTTTTTCAACCTGGTTTCCTACCAACCAAATTAGCATATTCTGGTTCTTAGGCTGTCTCAACTATGCAATTACTGTGAACACTTGAGGATGCTTTTGCTGAGTGCATAACGATTCTGATATTCATTATATAAATATAAATAGTAATATCAAATGATTATTATACATTAATGGAAATTAAGTTTTATACAGTATGAGAAACCACAGCATTTAATCATGCCAACTAATGAGAACCATTTCTCTGAATGTCTTTTTATTACTCTGGGGAACTTCTGTCTGTGTTTTACATAGTATTGAATTTTATTTTATTTTGACTATGATTTTATAAAGCAGATGGGGAAAATGGGTTTTTAAGTCTTAAGTCTTCAAAGAGAATTATATTTTATAGTGTGAGAATTTTTGTAATTATCTGGACTATAATATTTGACAAATAATATAGTCTTTAAAAAGAAATTCTGTCCTTGCAGATGAAAGTAAAACAAAGTGCAGTAAAAGAAAATTAATAATATATTTACTAAGTTCTTGATAGAATCTATTTGACCTTTTCAATGTGAAGAGTCATAAAAACTAAAATATGAGGCCGGGCGTGGCATGGTGGTTCATGCCTGTCATCCTCTCTCTGGGAGGCCGAGGCAGGAGGATCGCTCAAGGTCAGGAGTTCAAAACTGGCCTGAGCAAGAGCAAGACTCAGTCTCTACTAAAAATAGAAAGAAATTAATTGGCCAACTAAAAATATATAGAAAAAATTAGCCGGGCATGGTGGGGTATGCTTGTAGTCCCAGCTACTTGGAGGCTGAGGCAGGAGGATCGCTTGAGCCCAGGAGTTGGAGGTTGCTGTGAGCTAGGCTGATACCATGGCACTCTAGCCAGGGCAAGAGTAAGACTGTGTCTCAAAAAAAAACAAAACTAAAATATGATAAAATTAGGGGGAAAAATGAATATGCCTGCTAGACCACGTTTACAGTAGAAAAAAGAAAAGTTACCAGCAAGTATTCTATTTCATAAATGCAAAAATAGTAATTATTTAGGGTAATTATTTAGCTCTAAATTAAAATTTCAAAAGCAGTTTCTTTTTCTGAAGAACATTATTGGAAATTATATAAGAATTAAATTGGTACAAGTTAATTTAACTTCTTTTATTACCCACTTATGAAGCAGGGAGAATCTACTGGTAAAATGTGAACTTTTTTTTCTTCTTTCAATTATTTGCATTGCTGGTTTGAGATAGACTTTTCTGGAGTTATTCTAACATATAGTATTGAAGTAGAAGAAAGAAAACACAATTATTATGATCAAGTTCTTTATACTTTTTAATCTAGAAATATGACATGTCTGCTGATAAATAATTTATAAATGAGTGCACTTTTTTTTTACAGTACCCCTAGTAATAGCAAATGAATGTTTAAATGTTTTGAATATATTTAAATACATTTCTCTAGCTTTCTTGTCTTCTTTTCCCTCCCACTTTACTACTGAGGATTCCTTTGCTACAGTGTTCAAAAAGGGAGTTATTGCAAAACTCATGAATTTCATAGTGATTTGTTAATATAATGAAAAACTACTGTGGCTCTTTTAAATCTGAAATAATATTAACTGTGTCTTTGAAAAGCAAAAGTGATGGGAGGTTGCAAAGTGCTATCTGCCCTGCATAGGAATGTTGAATATTGAATGTTGTATATTGCATTTTGATAGTGTTGATTGGTCAGGTTTTTATCAGAAAAAAAGGGCCAATCAAGAGGTTGGTCTGAGATGGATACTGACTGGAAGTAGATCCAGCCACAAGCAGCCCGCAGTGGGGATGGAGTATTCAGTTGGGTGGTTAATTCTGAAAAGTCCAGCATGAAATGGAACAGCAAAAACTCAGTGGCTGCAAATATGTGAGTGGGCAGCCTTCAGAGACAGCAAAGCAGAACAGAAGATAAGGGCAAAGCAGACCTCCAGTCTCAAAGGGAGAGGAGTAGATGATCCATAAAGGCGCTCGGGTACAGGAGATCACACAGGGATCTGACTATGGTAGTGGATGGAGACATGATGGATCGTTTATAAGACAGAGTCTGTGTCTGGGACACAGGAAGAGGCCGCAGTACACACGGGGAGAGGTCCTAGGACCTTGCTGTGGCTACAGGAAGAGGATAGGAGGCAGGAACAGGGAACCAGAGAGGCTAGTTATTACCTTGCTCTGCTTATTACCTTATAGAATTTCAGTTTCTGTGATTACTCTCTTTTAACAGTCATGGCCGAAGTCTACTGTACATTTCAGTTGCCTTCAGTTCTTTCTATAATAAGGTAGGGGTGTTATAAATAGGCACATACTCATATATTTTTATTCCAAGTCAAATATCTTCTGTGAAATCAACTCTGTCTTCTCTAATTTCAGTATTTCTCGAACCTAACCTAAATCACCATAGAGCCATTTGTCCTTTTTTGCAAAAGAAGGAAAGAGTAGTTACAAATCTGCACCTGGCATGATTAGTAAGTTTGTTGCAGTTACAGTAACTCGAACAGTAGGTGTCATTGTTCCCCAGATGCTCATTAGGGATCACCAGCCCAGTTGAAACGATTAGGGGAATGAAAGGGAAGGACAGGCTTTGCCAAACCGTTAGTGAGATTGTAGCAAAATAAACGTGAACCTGCAAACTTCAAATGAAGAACATTCTTGGTGAGGATGTCCATAGCCTGGTCTCTTTCATGTTTAAGGCTAGAATCTCTCCCCCCCAAAAAGACATGCCTGCCTCAGTTGCTCAGCTTAGCATCAAAGCAGCTTGGTGGTGGTGTTCCTGTGCCATGTTCAGCCTGTTATTGTCTGCATTCTTTTGCCTGGCATCCCGCAGATCTGTCTAGGATCTGTCACTGGTTCTATTTGTCTCAGTCTTCGGTATCTGCAAGCCCAGGTTTTGCATTCTGTGGTTGGTTTCCTCTGGGACTAGGGTTTTTCATCTCCACATTCTGTTCTTCTCATCTCTGTTTGTGCCCACCTCACCTACACTACCTTCATGCTCCTGTGACCAGGGCCAGACCCTGTCCTTATCCCATCCCACTGACCTTTGAATTCCTTCTTTACAAATTTCTGGATTATACATATAGCTTGTGTACTTGGAACCTGTGTTTGCCTGAGCTTTATCAAAATCCTAAATATATGCTTCCGAAGCTACATACATGTAATCAGTTGTGTTCATTGGGCTCTAAACAGCTCACCTGGCTTCTGAATGCTTGTTCCTTGCTTACCTCACACCTGTCTTCCAGCAAGTACACCAATCTTTCTCTCTTACTCTATTCCATCAAAACCCTGAAATTGATCATCTTTTTAAATTTCAGCCCAAGTTTTAATACAGTATAAATTGAAGCTAAATTAATATTTTAGGAGATTTGGAATTGCTTAGGGTCTGTTTTAGAATTTCATCTGTTTTTAATTTTCCTTGAAGAGCATCAGATAGATTTATTTCTAAGTTCGCTATTTGGCAGACAAATTCATTCTTTAGGATTTGATTAATTTTTGATTGCTAGAGCCTAGGAACCATCAATTTTATGAAACTCTCTTAACTCTCTCAAATTTATGTTGAAGAAAACAATTTAGCTTTGGATAAATTCAAAGTAAAATATTACCTAATATTAGATGGGAATGGAAATTAAACCATACCACTCCTGTCCTGATTTATAGAAAACTTCTTTCTAAAGCATTTTTAGATAGCTTTTGGGGGGCATACCTTTTCAAACAACTTATGCTAGAATTTGTATGTTTGTGATTTTTGTTGTTGTTATACTTCATTAGCTTTAATTTTTAAGAATTTGTTTTTCTCCTTAGGAAGCATAGTATATGTTTTCTAAACTATCATTTTTGAGGTAAAAATTCCTCATTATCAGATGGGAGAGTTGGAGAAGTTTAGCATACAAGACATTATGTTTGTTTATAAGCCTGTTTCAGGCTGCTGACTAGTAAGTGTAACAGACAGCAAACTGTTTATGTAAGTATCTACTTGATTTTTTGTCAAGATAGT